TTTCAGTCCGAGTTCAAGTTCGCGCTGTTCAATTCCGGTTCCTATTCGATTATTACAGATGCTTTTGAAAAAGTTAGAAACCTCTGTCGACAAAAGATTTGGGAACATCATAGGTACACCCAGAGAGCTAGCCTTATCAATGCTCGAAACAATGAGCCTTTCTTCTTTAAATACATCCGTAAACCCTCTCTCCGTCTCATAGCTCTCGCTAACCCAGACGGATCAATTGCCTTATTCTCAACAGAGGTGGCGAATAGCTCCCAATCACACCTCCAGGAAACCTCTAAATCCCCTCCAGTGCCCAATCACCACATTCTGCAGCCGCTAGCTACAAAGTTATCCCTAGGATCCATCCTTTTCTCACAATATAAGGTTGAAATTCGACTCCAGAGCAATAATCCGTACTGCTCCATGGGACCTGATAATATACAACCCAGGTTACTGGTGGAGTCATCGGGTGTACTAGCTACCCCGTACACTCTTCTCTTCCAAAGCAGTATGGACGGGAGGACATTTCCCACAAACTGGAAAGAAGCCGTTATTTGCCCCATCTACAAAAAGGGCGGTAGACACTCCCCTTGTACGTCAACCAATTCGCACTTGAGTGACGCGTTGCCGAACAGATACAAATCCCGAAGTAAAAACACAATTGATCCGCAATGTTCTACGGTACTGAATTAACAACATCATTACAAATGTACAACAAAGCAAACCTCAAATATACTGCCGAGAGCACTCAAGCAAGCGAGCCAGATAAGATGTCCAGAGAGAGGGAAACAGTCGCTCAAACGGAACAACTACACTGAATTAAGACATTACATCGCAGCAAATCTGAATTCTGTTAACCTAATGTAATGATAACGGAAGTAGTTGGAAGTTACGCACAGAATTCCGGACACGAACTACGCAATGGGAATCACGGAACACGAATTATAAAACCGATGGCACTGGACCGCAATGGCTCGAACTCGCTATAACCCGCAGGATCGAGACGCGAGGGAAAAGGCAACAAGACAGGCGAATCACAAAGTCGTTTATTGAAGGAAATGAAAGTGAATATATATGTACACAAGTAAAGATCATTGGCTACCTTAGTTTCCACCAATCATATTGCATCACATCTTGCGTCATACTGCTCTTCTCNCTGATTGGCTGGAACGGTGCACCAATGACGTATCCGGAGGCTGTGCACGTGCTACTGGCGTCATTACTCAAGGTCAATTGACTACCAATGTCTGGAAACTGTACCGCGCTGTTCCAGGACAGGCGTGATCTCGTAGATCCGAATCACCACAACTCTCTTCTCTCAAAAGAGCCTCGTCGAATTGACTTGCTCTTCTGATTGGTCTTCGGAATGCTAGTGGGGTATTCTCGTCAGTAGACGTTCCCGGAGTAGCGGGTTGCTGTGTATGGTCTTCTGTTGTTGTTGGTGGTGTATCACAGGATGGGTTTTCTTGGG